AAAAAAAAAAAAAAAAACCAAAGAAAGACCAAGGAGGCGCACGTTTGCGAAAAAAAAATGGAAAGAATTTCACCCTATGAAAAGATCGCGACCCGCTTCCGTGGCATGGACTGGACAGAGGAGGAGGAACATATTTGCTACCAAGTGTTTTTCAAATGGTGTTGTCAGAAGACAGACATACACAAAGGCCATGTGTTCAATTCCTTGTGGGCAGAAAATTCAATAGTCCAGAACCAATGTCTGAGTTATGCATTTAAGAGGGAGTTTACTATTTCCCAATTCCGGCGAAAGATTCATCGACTTAGAAATTATTTCGATGAATTTACTGCTTACCTGAGGATTCCAGGCGTCCTCTTGTGTCTTGATACATGCTTTGCTAAGGTTAACCACATGTACTGGGTGTATGTGGGGGAGGAGGTAAATTGTGTTTGATATTTTATTTTAGTTTGTTCAAGCATGCATTTTTGTGATGCAGCCATAATAACCTAAAAAGATTTAAATTTATTACACAAGAGACCGACACTCAGGAATTTTTCTATACGGAAGGATTCCCTTTGTATGGTAAGTGTTACGCGGTTTTTACTGAGCGCAACACAGCGACGATAGACTTGGAGGGCGGGCCTGGTGCTTCGGTTAACGACCCAATCTGGGAGGAAGAAATAGATGTTTGTAGTATTTTTGGGTAGTTGGTAACCGAGTTATCTGGACTCGGGTCGTTCTCAAAGGAAGACTATTCGGACACGTATTCAAACAATGATCGAATCACACAAGAAAAGAAAATAAAAATCTTAAACACTCTACTCGCAATTTGGGGGATGGGATTAAGTAAGAATGCAATTTAAACTAAGACGAAAGCAAGATTCACAATTTATCGCAAGCAAGACCTCAAATTGCAAGAAAAAAGAAAATAAAGAGAAAAAGAACAAGGTACTCTTAGACCCAAGATGGAAAGAAGACACTCATAGGTTTGGGAATATGGAACCAAGCGAAAGTCACTCGTGATCAATTAACCTCTCAATCAATTCTCACTCAAGCAATCAATAACAATATCACATAATCCCTAGCCTACGAGGATGGTAGCATAATCGACTCATTGATGTCCCAATCTTAACCCTAGGATAAATCCAATAAGTAAAGACGAGCAAGACTTACGAAATCATGAACCTTAAATGAAGTCTCCAAGTCTCTAGTGCATCCACGAGAAGAAATAAGCCGAAAAGTTATAATCTTGATGGAGAAATATTACAATTAAAAATAGGGTCTTGGATCCCTTAGAGAGAGAAAGAAAACTAGAGAGAGAAGAGAGCAAAAAACTAAAAAGAAAAATTTAGCAAAATGAGGAATTTTCCGAAAATACAAAGCAATATGTCTATATATAGCTACTCCACAAACACACACTAAAAACATGCACATTTAGTCAAAAACACTCTCGAGCTCGCCAAAATTTCCGCGCGGTCGCGAGTTGGCAGGGCACTGGGCGCGGGCGTGTGCAGGCGTTGGGTGCGGGCGTGCGCAGGCGCTGTGCGCTGGGCACGGGTGATACAGAAGTAGAGTTCGGGACCGGCATGTCTAGTGAGGGGCTAAAATGCGAAAGGTGCGCATCGACCCTTGATGCACACGAATGGGAGAACAAGCCGCGCACGCGGGATTTGCGAGGAATATGCGGGCGCGCGGTTGGAAGGTGCACGGGCGTACGCGGGTGCGCGGTGGAGGATCGGAGCACGGGCAACGGTTGGGACGCGCGGCGGATGGGGCGCAAGCGCGCACTATGCGCGGGCAGCAGCGAGTGGGGCAGAAGCGCAGACGTCCTATCCCGCAGGGGCATATGACAGGCGTGCATGCACGCGCAAGGGAAGGGCGCCGCGGACTAAACGAGCACAATGGTGTGCGCGTGCGAGGCGGGCGACCCATGCCGCATGGGTATAGGAGTGACGGAAGCGGCGCGCGATAGCGTGTGCGAA